AAAAAAAAAAAAAAAAAAAAAAAAAAAGATTCTCTGGTCTTGTCATCCTGGCTCTCCTTCTTGTGTTGGCTTTGTCCTCAGGTGCATGGATACTAGAGAGCAACTCACGGTGTTTCCTGTAAACTCAATTCCCAGAAAGCTTCCACAGGTGCAAACAGGTGCTTGCACATCATTGTAGGGGTTTACAGACTCCGGAGCCCATCCGTCAATCCCAAATTTAACACTCTGATTGAAGAAAATAACTTGTGTGTAGATAAGGTGATGGCCATGGTACTCCTCCCCCCCCCCAACGCTTTTTAAAGTTTTATTTATTTGGAGGGGGGGCAGAGAGAGAAAGCACGAGAGAGAATCCCAAGCAGGAAAGGGAGAGAGAGAGAGAATCCCCCGTCGGGCTCTGCCCTGTCAGTCGAACTCATGAACCATGAGTTTATGACCTGAGCCAAATCAAGAGTCACTTAACCTACTGAACCACCCAGGCGCCCCTCTTCCCCCTTTTTTTAAAGTTAATTTAAAAGGGGCCTTCTCAGTTGAAATTGGGGATAGCTATCCTGCATTCTTTCTTAAAAAGTGGAGCTCTGGAGGGAGTCAAACTTGCCTGGGCAAGGAGAGCAGGATTTTAACAGAGTGATGAGAGAGAAAGCAGGTTCAGGCTGATGAAACAGCCTGAGCACAGACAGGCTCTGTGACAGACAAGCTTAGGAATGTTTGGGGAAGGTGAGTAGACAGGTCTGACTGTGGAGAGGTTCTATCAGGGAAAGTCCTAGTGACAGTGTGCAGCTTGAGGGGTAAGAATAGGGCTGTCTTCATTTTCAGGCAGTGGAATCACTGAACTGTGTTACACAGCATTTATCACAGCTGTAATTTGACACTTGTGTGATTATTTGATTACCATCTGCCTTCTCCACTGGTCTGTCAGGTCCAGTGAGCACTGACATTGTGTGTCTTTCTGCTCACCTCTGCACCTCTGGCACTGGTTGATAGCCTACTACAGATGCTCATTACACATTCTGGAAATTAACCGGTGGAGGAATGGGGGAATGAATGGTTTCTGGGTGGGGAGGGACACTCTGGATCAATGTTTCTAACAAATGTGAGCTCCAGTACTTGGTTTGATTCTCCTTCAATGGTTTCCTGCTTTGCTCATCAGTAGTCATGAAGCAGGGGGTAGGAGTTGGCACCTTGTGGGTCAAGCCTTCCTCTGAGCAGATCAGATTACTGGAGCCCTCGTTGGTGAAGTGTGCAAACCATGCTTGGCATCTGCCAGGCCCTTGTTCTGTACACACACTACTCGACCTGAGGTAGCTTGAAGTTGTCTAAAAACATGCATTCTTGGAATTAGATAGGACTGGTTCAAATTTTAGCTCTACCTCTTCTTAACTATAAGAGTCTGAGGAAACCACTTCACTTCTCTGGATCTCCTTTCCTCATCTATAAAACAGGAAAGATAGTAAATATCTACTTTATAGTGTTGTGAGGATTAAATTAGTTCAGTAATATAAAGGGGCTGCCACATCATAGGCGTTCTTTGTTTTATTTTTTACATTTTATTTTCTCATCGTGTCCTTCAAAATTGCAAGGAGTATTTATTTTATTTTATTTTTTCTGATTGTAAAAGCAACTTCATGCTCAGTGTAAAACATTTGTTCTAAACAGCAAAGTCTAAAAGAAAAATTAGTAACTTTATAAAACTGCATTTGAGATAAACACGATTTACATTTTGATGTGTTACCTTCGAGTGTTTTCTCCATTCACGAGAGACTTTATTTTAAAATAGATAATTCAGTCACATGGTGCACAATGCAAGGGAGGACATATAGGTAAACAGTGAGAAGTAAGCCTTCCTCTCTACCCTGACCCCAGCCACCAGTTCCCCTCCCCAGAGACAACTACTGTTACCAGATTCTTAGGTGGCCTCCCAGAGACAGTTTACATATTTAGAAAATCTGTTTTATTTTCATATCATCTTCTTCATATGCAAACACTGGATTAGTGTACGTGTTATTTATGCTAGAGGCTGCCACAAAAATGAGTTCCCTTTTAGTGCTCATAGATATATGGCTCTGGTGACAGGTTCTGTGGGCTCAGCAAGGCTTGGTCTTGGTTGTATATTTTTACTCTTTGAACTGAAAATCTGCAGACAACTCAACAGGTGTTAGAGTTCTCAGTCTCAACCGTTTCTACAGTTGCTCATGCGAGGAGTAGATCTGTAGGCCATGGCTGGAGCCAGCAGACAGGGCAGTCTGAGGTAGAATTAAAGCTCCTCCAACATTTCATTGACCCTCAGTCAGTTTTTTAAAGTTTGTTTATTTATTTTGAGAGAGAGAGAAAGGTCAGGAGAGGAGGGGTGAAGAGAGGGAGAGAGAGAATCCCAAGCAGGCTCCAGTGCAGAGCCTGATGCAGGACTTGTTCTCACAAATCTGTGAGATCAGGACCTGAGCCAAAATCAAGAGTTGGACACTTAACCGACTGAACCACCCAGGCACCCTGACCCTTAGTCAATGTTTTATAAACTGATAATTGGAATGGGAGTTCTGACATGGAAAGATAATATGTGACAACTGAGATTGATCCAAAAATCAGGGCTGTGTGCCCGCTAGAATAGAGTGGACTGAAGACCAAAGCCTAAATCAATATGGTTCAAAGACCAGTTCTGCTCCCACCTCCACCCTTCAGGCCCCACAACCCTGCTACCCTCAGCTCCTGTCACTGGAGCCTCTTCTCTGCAGGCTGCACCCCTCCCTGTGCAGGTCTGTCTCATTCATACTTTCACTGGGCCGTGCCTTCAAATTGGGCCTCTCCCCTTGGTGTTCTCCACTCAGCCTTTGTCTTTCCCTCCTGTTAATTCATCAACCAAGAACACTCAGAACTTGATCCTGCATGGAGCCCGGTGGACGAGGTGGGGATAGGAAGTTGGACTTGTTCAAAGCTAAGTTCCAGAGAACAGTGAATAAGAATGGACTGATGCATTGGAATATTGTACACCTGAAACAAATGTAACACTGTATGTTAATTACATTGGAATTAAAATTAAAAACCTAATAAAAAAAAGAATGAACTGATGCATTTGAGACACCTCATTTGGAAAATGTGTATTAAATAATATAATGGATATAGCAGTGCTTTGTAAAGTGTTAAGTGCTGTATAAGCATAAGGGACTCATATTTTTTGTTTATTTATCTTGAGAGAGAGACAGAGACAGAGAGAGCAGGGGAGGGGCAGAGAGAGAGAGAGAGAGAGAGAGAATCCCAAGCAAGCTCCATGCTGGGAGCCTTGGGCTTGAACTCACAAACCATGAGATTATGACTTGAGTTGAAACCAAGAAGGGACTCATTTTTATGAGAATGATGATCATTTAAAACTAAGACATAGAAACCAATGATTTTACAAATGAATTTTTAAATTATGGAAGTGCTACTTATTCATTTTAGAGGATTTTTAAAGTATATAAAAAAGGGGAAGAGAAATTCTCAGAGTCTTATTAGAGAGTGTGGTACCTTGTATCATTTCTACAGTATATTCTCTTTCTATCCTTCTGGGACTGTTTCTGTGGGATGACTATTTTTCCCTTGACAACAGATTTTGCCACATGTCTTACTCTGGCTGGTTAAGTGTAAGTGGAAAGGGCATGTACAACTTCTGAGCTAAAGTTTTAAGAGCATTTCGATAGCTCTGCCGTCTTTTTTCTCCTTCTGTCATAAGATTGGCATATGTCTCCGTCAAAGGCTTTTCTGTCATTCTGGGTCTTGGCATGAAGACCCCTGTAGGACATATAATGTGAGCAAGAGATAATCATTTATTCTTGTCAACATCTGAGATTGGGGGGTAGTTTGTTACTGTAACATAAATTGTCCTAAGATACCTGATATTCTGAGATATCATAACTTAATATTTTGGTGTATACACTTCAGCCTTTTTTCTATGCCTGTGTTCCATATTTTTAATAAAAATCAGATTATAGCATACCTATTATTTTATGAAGTGCTTTTCTCATTTCAACTACAAATGTTTTAGCATATATATCTAAAAGACAAGGATTCTTCTTTAAACATAATCACAATACTGTTGCCACACTTAAAAGGAATAATAATCCGAATAAGGACCAAAATAAGGTCCATACTTTGCACTAGCTTGATGTGTCTCTTACATCTCTGTGTGTTTTCAGGTTCCTCCTCCCCATGTCTCTCTCTTAGCCTTGTGATTTATTTGTTGAAGAAACTGAACTGGCTGTTCTGTAAAGTTTCTCACAGTCTGGATTTTGCTGATGGTATATTCCCATGGCGTCGTTTAACATGTTCCTCTTTCTGCTGTATTTCCTGTAATTTGCTGACTAAATCTAGAAGCTTGATCAGGTTCAGTGAACAGATTTTTAAACTCAGTACATTATGAACATTTTCAATATCATTTAATATTCTCTTACATGTTTTATTAGTGACTACAGAGCTGCTGAAAACAAGAACGTGCTATCATTTCTTTAGCTAGTCCTCTATTGTCGGTCACTGGGATTGTTCTAAGTTTTTGTCGCTACACACAACTTGCTGATAAACCTTCTTGGGGATGAATGGTTTTCTGGCCTGATTTGCCTCCCTTCTGTTTTCTTAGTTCCTACGGATGGTGGATGCCTGTGCCAGCTTCCTAACAGAAGCCTTGAACCCGGAAAACTGTGTTGGAATACTGAGGCTGGCAGATACACACTCTTTGGACAGCCTGAAAAAGCAGGTGCAAAATTACATCATCCAAAACTTTGTGCAGATTCTGAACTCTGAAGAGTTCCTTGAACTTCCCGTGGACACTCTGTACCATATCTTGAAGAGTGATGAGCTTTATGTGACAGAGGAGGCTCAGGTGTTTGAGACTGTGATGAGTTGGGTCCGGCACAAACAGTCAGAAAGGCTCTGCTTGCTCCCCTATGTACTTGAGAATGTGCGCTTGCCACTTCTGGACCCGTGGTACTTTGTGGAGACGGTGGAGGCAGATCCTCTCATCAGACAGTGCCCGGAGGTCTTCCCGCTACTTCAGGAAGCCAGGATGTACCACCTTTCAGGCAATGAGGTGAGTTGACAATGTGCGACACTGCAGTTAACTGGTGAGGTGAAAGAGTCTGTGGGCCTCACAGAAATGAGGTGAGGCTGGCTTGCAGATCCTTACGTCATTGTGAAGACAAATGCCACACTGTCTATGGTTTGAGTCAGATGGTTCCAGATGCCCTGGATTTCTGATCTGTGAAATGGGGATGATACTGCATCATAAACAGCTACTGAGAGGATTGAGTGAGATAGAAAATTGCTCAGCACCATGCCCTGTACATCCTTCCTCTTCCCAGAGCTTAAGGGTAGAGGTTGGTGGGGGTGACGCACACAGGACAGAAAGTGCCCTGTCCAGTCACCATTCCACAGGAGCACTGCTTTCCTAGTTTGCCTGCTCTGGGAGCTGCAAGTCTTTTGGATGTCATGTGAATGTTACCTTGGTTCAGACTGTCATTGTTTCCTTTCTGAATTTCTGAAAATTCCTCAAAACTCACCTTCCTGCCCTCAGTCTGACCTTCCCCCAATTCATTCACTAGCTGGATGATCTAAAACTCATGCCTCATCATTGTGTTCTGGGGCCTTACCCTCTTCCTGGGTGCCTGTAACTCTCAGGATAAAGCCCACACACTTCCTGCCTGAGCTCCCAGAGCCTGGCCTTATGTTCTTCACCTCCTGCACACTTCTCTAGTGCCGTCTACAACCTCTTCCTTCTGCTATGCCCTAATGCTCTGCTTGCAATTCCCTAAAGTGGATGTGCTTTTTCACCCTCTATTGCAGGCGAATGAGGTCCTGTTCAAATGCCTTTTCCTCTCTCCATCTAGTTGGCTTCTACTCTGGCTTCAAAACCTTCTTCAGAGACCTCTCTCATTCTCATCGTCCCTGGTGCATTGCTCTATCGTAGCACCAACCACCACATGGTACCACTGTGTTCTTCATCTGTAAGTGTCTCTATACTGGGAGCTTGTTATGGTAGGAAATATATCTTATGGGACTTTTCACCTCCAGACCTTAGGAGAACTCCTGCTCTAGAGTAAGTGATTGGCAAATGTGTGTTGAATGAAGAAATGAGTTCCCAGATGATGCATACGTGTATCATTTGGATGTACCTGGTTCTCCTTAACAATTTCTGAAGAATTGTTTTATTCAAATCTTTATAAAGATGAAAGTAGGCTTAGTGGAGAGGAACAAAACTATCAGGAAATAATACTATAAGGATAGTATATTTAAAACTATACACATGAACACACATGTATATACCACTGTACAGTAGACCTGGGATAGGCTACCAGACCTTCATTAGGGCCATTGATAGAAATCCTAGCCACAAGTGGGTTAGAAATTGTCTTTCTGAGGCTGCTGGGAGCCTCCTCCTTTTCCTGTGCCTTTTCTTGTCGTTCTGTGTTGCCCTCAGATCTGCTGTCATTGATTCACTCTGAAAATATATCCTTAAATGTTTGGTAGAATTTACCAGTGATACTATCAGAGCCAGTAGTTTTCTTTGTGAGAAATAAACTCTATTTCTTTAGTAGATATAGGGTTATGTATTTCTTCAAGGATGAGCTTTGGTAGTTTGTGTCTTTCAAAGAAGCTGTGGAATTTACTGGCATAAAGTTGCTCACAGTATTCCTTCAGTATCCTTTTAATAACTGTAGAATCTATAGTGATGTCACATTTCTCATTCTAGATACTGGTAATTTGTGTCTCCTCTTTTTCCTTTTTTACCCTGATGAGTCTGGTTAGAGATTTATCAATTTTATTAAAGAAACAGCTTCTGGTTTCATTTGTTTTTATGGTTTATTTTATTCATTTATACTGTGATCTTGATTATTTTCTTTCTCTGCTTGCTTTGGGTTTAATTTTCTTTGATTTTTTTTTTTTTTAAGTGGGAGCCGAAGTCATTGATTTGAGAAATTTTTTTTTCTAGTATTGTCGGCAGTACTATAAATTTCCCCCTAAGTGCTACTTTAACAGCATCCCATATATTTTAATAAGCTACAAATGTATGTATGTATTATATATGTATATATTTAGTTATTGCAAATAAGTCATAGACACCAGCTATTTGCTGGATATGGCCCTGGGCACTACAAAAACAGTCTCTGCCTTATGAAATTGATGGTCTGTCAGAGAAGCCAAGACAATAAGCAGATGAACAGTGATGAGTACACTGATGTAGGGAGTCCAGCCAACCATATGGGCCCTGCCCTATGCTGGCTATGTGGGTCCCTGGCAGATGGCTCAGCACCGGGCATTAAAGCGCTCATAAAATTGTAGACAGTGCCAATCTCTATCTACAGCTGCTCTCAGTTCAGGGTCTTGATCAGCTACACTTCCAGTATTCTAGCTATTTTTATGTCTGCTTCCTGTTTCCTAAGTCCCAGAAATGTAGGTGATAAAGGTTATCCTCTGCTATAAAATATCTCTACTATACCTTCTGCAAAATGGCTGCTATGAAATATCTGCTTTGACTTCGGTGTTTGCAACATGGGGAGAGTGGGATTATAAATTTTGGGTTTAGGAGAAGAGAGAATTCTTCTATCTGGAAGAGTGGCAGCAACTTGGGCTTACAGTTAGGCAGATCTGGGTTTTAATCTTGACTGCAGAATTTACTGACAGTGTGAACTTGGGTAAGCTGCTTAGCTGCTTTAAAGCTCTGTCCTGCCCTGTAACATGGGGATAAGAATGTCTACCAACTGATACAATTGTTTTGATAATTAAATAAGATAATGAATGCGATGTGGTTAGTGGTATCTGGTGCATTATGTAAGACACCACAAATGAACATGTTCTCATTCTTTCACACTTCCTTTATGGTACTTTATCTCCCACAACCAAGCATTTTCCTTCTCTGAAGCTAAAATTTCTCTTTTCACTGTGTCCTAGGGTTGCTGATTTATGTCCTAAGTCCTCCCCAGGGCACTTTCTCATTCCCATGTTACAGTCTTGGTAACTGAACCAGCCAACCGCAGTGATCTTTGAATCAGGGTCTCACTGCCAGCTGATTCCCTGAAACCCCCTGTCTGTTCACTGCTTGAATGATCTTGGGCTTACTCCTCATAGTAGTAATGAAAGCCTGGAGGCTAGTCTCTGAACATACTTCTCCCCTTAACCTTCCTTTTTCAAATTTGAACCCTTCTTGTCCTATCATTGTCTTTCCCTTTTAACCTTGTTCCTCCTCTAAGCTCATGGAGGTAGCAACATTTTAGAACCGTAAAAGCAGATGTCAATCTACATTTGATATAGGAGTGGTAGCCAGTACCTTCATTGAGAGAAGTTTGTTGGAGCAGAGAAAGTTTCTCCTTTATTTGATTACCTCCTGAATTTCCAGCGATCACCTTGATCTGTACCAAAGGCTACTCTGACATGTGTGGTGTCACTCATTCCTGAGAACAGAGGTAGCAGAGGCTCAGCCCTGAGGACAGCTTTGTTGAAGCAATATGTTCACTTATGTTGGTCCTCTAGTATAGGCCCTTTTAATGAGTAGTCAGTAAGGTGCAACTGCCTGTTCTATTTAAAAATTTTTTTTAATGTTTATTTATTTGAGAGAGAGAGAGAGAGAGAACAAGCAGATGAGGGGCAAAGAGAGAGAGGGAGACACAGAATCTGAAGCAAGCTTCAGGCTCTGTCAGCACAGAGCCTGATACAGGACTCGAACTCACGGACCTCGAGATCATGACCTCATGACCAAGATCAAAGTTTGACACTTAACTGACTGAGCCCTCCAGATCCCCCCTCCCTGCATGTTCTATTTTTAACAATCTAAAAATAAACTGGTTAGGCTTGATTGTTGCATGCAATTCTTTGGCAAACACTTCTGTGTGTCTGCAGCAAAGTTGCACGTCTCTGACTTCAGAAGGGCATGTCTCATGCCTTTGGGGTTAATATTTTGCCAAATGTAGCTGAATTTATAGTTTGATAACAGTGCCACCACTCGAGAGTCCTGCAGTGACCAGTGACAAGGCGGGTCTTAATACCCAGCAATTCTATCAACTAGATGTCTGTATTAGTTTTCTATTGTGATGTAACAAATTATCCCCAAATTTTATGGTTTAAGACAACAAACATTTATTATCTCACAGCTCACAGGAACCTAGGTGTGGTTTAGTTGGATGGTTCTGGCTTAGAGTCTCTTATGAAGCTGTAGTCAAACCATTAGCTGGGGCTGCAATCATCTCGAAGCTCAAACAGGGTTGGAGGATCAACTTCCAACTTCATGCACAGGATTGTTGACAAGTGTCCGTTCCTTGCTGGCTACTGGCTGGAAGCCTCAGTTTCTTGCCACATGGGCTTCTCCATAGCTGCTGGCTTTCCCCAGAGCAAATAGCCCCAGAAAAACCGAGAGAGCAATCAAGATGAAAGCTGTAGTGCTTTTTATAACCTAGTTTCACCAGATATACCATCACCTTTGCTGTATTCTATTGACACAGGAACTGACCCTGGAACAATGTGGGGAGAATAACATAGATGTAAATATCCTGAGGTGGGGATTGCTGGGCACCACTGAGGAGGCTTCTTATAACAGTGATCTAGACTGGGAAAAAAAAGATCTGTATCTGGTCCTGGGTTACCTAGCTCTCCTATTCCTTCCTTCCTTCCTTCATTCCTATTCATTAATTTACTCACACTTTCAACAAATGTTTATAGAAACCCACAATCTCCAAGCACTGTTCTTGATGCTGAGGATCTGTTAGAGAATGAGGACTGTTCCTGCCCTCAGGGATCTTCTAGTAAATTACAAAGAAGTATGCAAAGTGCTGTGATGGGGAAATTGAGGACTGTGGGAACATGTGTAGAAGGTCAAGAATGGGTTCTTGGAGGAAAGGACAAAGAGACAGTACAAATAGTGCCAGTGACTTAAAAGGTAAGTGGATGGGGAGGTGGTGTGGGAAATCAAGGTGGGGATCCAGATAGAAGTCAGGAATGCAGGGGTTTTAGTCAATGGGAGCTGAGTCTTCCACAGCCCAGGACTCAGAAACAGAATGCCAGTCTGGGAATCACGAGTAAGATCACAGTCAAGTCCCCTACCGGCCAGCAGGCTATTGAGGCAGGAAAGCAGTCACTAAAGAAGATAGGGGGCTTCAGAGGAAGGCTGAGGCATGGCTCTCGGAGCTGGAATAAAGGCCACATGGGAACCGGTTCTGGGAGTTTTGTGCTGTCCTCTAGGCATTGCCCTCCAGTCCCTAACCCTCTTGAGAAGACCAGCTTGGTGCTGGAGGTTTCATTGTGAACCAGGGCAGGAAGTTGGAAAGAATGTCACAGAGTGGCAAGATTTGTCTTTGGTGCTCATCACTCAGCATCTGTTCTGCCAGCTGGGCATTCTCTTTGTGCCTCCAAATTCCCAGGACCACCCCTCCTACCCTTATCTCTGTCTTTTCAACTGTCAGTGCCCTCAGGTTCTGCCCATTTCCCCACACATCCTGACTCTCTGCTGGCCCCCAGAAGAGAGCCCTGCCACAGACTTTATGGCTATGAATTGAGGATGCAAAATTTACTGTATCTGATTCTTTGGTACAAAAAACCCCCAAGTCTGTTATGGACAAGTAGAGGTTGGGTGTTGGCCAGCCTGATTACTTGTGACCATTGATTGGATTCATCACCTGAGGGTGCAGTTTTTGCTACTGTAACTTGTTTGTCGCATCTGTGTTCAAGACGGTAGTTTCATAGTCTGTGTTAGGTCGGCTTGACCGTGCAGGAAAAAGTGGCTGCCTTGGTCATCTGGGAAATGGGTGCTGCCTCTCTGTCTCCCATCAGCCCACCTGCAGAACCTTCCCCACTGAGCCCAGGGATGGATGGAACCAGGAGGAGTCAGCTCTCCCTTTTCCCTAAGAAGGCCCATATGACATCTCCAATTGCTCCTACTGCCACGACTGCCTGTTACGGGCTGTGCTTGCACCAGGTGCTCTGCTCTTCCCTCTGCATCGTGACCTTGTGAGTGCTCATGATGACCTGATGCCACAGAAGTGATGACAGGGGTTTACAGAAATCGTGTCGCTTCTCCAAGGTCACATAGCCATACATGGTGAAACCAGGACTGAAATCTGGCGTATTTGACTTCCAAACCTCTGCTCTTTAAGCTGGGTTCAAATAGCTGTGGTGTGGGTATATTTGCTTGTTCAAGGCTCTGAAGGGTCATACCTTTGATATTGGAACCCAGTCCTCTACCCTCCCTGGTCACACTGTGCTCCCTTTTGGTTTTTTCTTCCTAAGTCTCAAGTGCTTGTAGGTGCCTACCATCAGGGCTTCTCTTCCAGAAAAGGTCTGGTGGTGAGCAAAGTCTGGGATATCATCAAGAAATTGAAACCAAGAGAGAGTGGAAGGTGGCCAAAAATGAAATTCCAGGCTTCAAGCCCTCAGACCATGCAGGAAGGGTGAGGCAGAAAGTGCATTTGATGGTAAATGGACCTGAATTTCTTAAGACAGCAGCAAAAGCAACAATAGGTAACCTTTGTTGAGTACCTGTTGTATACCAGGCCCCTTGCAAGCCAAGCACGCCATGTGTATGATATCATTTAATCCTTACAACAAACCTACGAGGTAGTTACCACTAAAATCCCCATGACACAGATGATGAACTGAGGCTCCTGGAGGTGATGTCACCTGGTCATATGGTGGCAGAGTTGGGAATTGGGCTCAGCTCTGTCTGGCTCCACAGCCTAGGCTCTGAACCTCTGTATCATCCTGCTTTTATGTACTCCCATTGGTTTTCCAGATCATTTCGGAGCGCACCAAGCCCAGGATGCATGAGTTTCAGTCTGAGGTATTCATGATCATTGGTGGCTGCACGAAGGATGAACGGTTTGTGGCGGAGGTAACCTGCCTGGACCCCCTGAGGCGCAGCCGCCTGGAGGTGGCCAAGCTCCCCATGACAGAGCATGAGCTGGAGAGTGAGAATAAGAAGTGGGTGGAGTTTGCATGCGTGACATTAAAAAATGAGGTCTACATCTCAGGTAAGCAGGAGCCTCATGATGACAAAGCAAGTCCCAGTGGTGCTATATGTAGTTTCCTGAGTGAGAGCCAGGCCGCCATCTTACAAGAATTTCTGTGAATGGCAATAGTCTAGCTCTGACTGGGTCAGCATATGGAAACCAGGAGCTCAGGGCGTCTTGGCTTGGAAAGCACATGATTACTTAATGGACACTAATCTGTGAGCAGTGTTATACTAGGATCTGGGGGAGCAGGCAGACAGGTCCAGTCCTTCATGGAAAAGGAAGAAGGAAAGTGATACTAGAGTTTATTTGGTGTTTGGTATAGGAGTAGGACACTAAGCTGGGTGCTGGGAATATAGTAATGAATAAAAATGTCTGCTCTGTCAGAGGACTGTAGATGCTGGCGAGGTTGTGGAGAAACGGGCACCCTCCTACACTGTTGGTGGGGATGTAAACTGGTGCAGCCCCTCTGGAAAACAGTGTGGAGATTCCTCAAAAAATTAACAATAGAACTCCCCTATGACCCAGCAATAGCACTGCTGGGAATTTATCCAAGGGATACAGGAGTGCTGATGCATAGGGGTACATGGACCCCAATGTTCATAGCAACACTTTCAACAATAACCAAATCATGGAAACAGCCTAAATGTCCATCAGCTGATGAATGGATCAAGAAGATGTGGTTTATTTATACAATGGAATACTACATGGCAATGAGAATGAATGAAATCTGGCCATGTGTAGCAACATGGATGGACCTTGAGGGTGTTATGCTGAGTGAAATAAGTCAGGCAGAGAAGGACAGCCACCATATGTTTGCACATATAGGAGGATTAGGAGGAACTTAACGGAGGACCGTGGGGGAGAAGAAGGGGAAAAATAGGGAGGGAGGCAAACCATGAGAGACTCTTGAATGCTGAGAACAAACTGAGGATTGATGGGGGTGGGGGGGGAGTCAAAGGGGGTGATGAGCATGGAGGAGGGCACTTGTGGGGATGAGCACTGGGCGTTATATGTAAAACAACTTGACGATAAACTATTTAAAAAAATAAAAAAAATAAAAATGTCTGCTCTTCTCCCTAAACCTGAACCTCAGCTCAAATTTATTGTCATACTTTTAGATGCTTCACTGGAACATAGTACTTTTTCATTTCACACTTCTTTCTTTCTTTTTTTATTTTAGACAGAGATAGAAAGAGAGCAAGAGTAGGGGAGAAAGAGAGAGAGAGAGAGAGAGAGAGAGAGAGAGAGAGAGAGAATCCCAAACAGACTCCACATTCAGCAAGGAGCCCTTTGCAGGGCTTGATACCACAACCTTGGGATCACAACCTCAAGCTGAAATCAAGAGTCAGATGCTCAACTGACTGAGCTACCCTGGCACCCCTCATTTCTCTGAGTTATTGCTTAATTATTTACAGTTACACTATGCCTGACTCCCATTAGTCCTTAAGTTATATAAGAGTCAATACTGTATTGCCAGTACCTAGTACTGTGCCTGGCTACATAGTAAATGCTTAATAAATATTTATTAAATGACAAAGTCTGTACCATTTTAACAGCACAGTAGATGAATTTATAATTTGGTGGCATTTAATCATTTGCCTCACATATCAACTCTGTAAGGTAGGTGATTTTAATCTCCAGGTTACAAATGGAGAAAACGGAGGCTCTGAAAGATTATGGAATGTACCTAAAGACAGGTCATACCTTGGTAAATGACAGGCAGTGTTCCAACCCAGGTTATGTGAGTCTCATCCTCTTCCCATGACATCAAAAGTCACCAAGCTCTTCTGTGGGCCCCAAGGGAGGAGAAAAGCATCCCTTGTCCTCTCTTGGAAGCTTTCTCTAATCTGAACTTGTTTGGGGGAAGAACTCCTTCCCAGAACTGTTTTCCTCCGAAGTCAAGAGCAGGTCAGTTCTTCCCTGGGTATGTTAATACCATAGATTAGATTATAATTTTATTTTATCTTGTAGAAATATTTTTTTTATTGTTGTAGAAGATTCAAATAATACAGAGTGGAAAGTAGAATATGGCAGTTTCTCTGTGCTATTAAAATCCTATATGTTTTAACTTTTTTACAAAAATAAATTTATATTGGCTTAGAGTAAGTAATGCTAGTTGCTGTAACAAACACTAAATCTCAGTGAATTATGGAATAGTCTGTGGGCACTGGGGGGAGTGGACCTCCTTCACTCAGTCATTCAGGGACCTAGGCTTTTGCATCTTATGATGCTGCTGTTTTCCACAAGTGGTCTTCAAGGTTGATGCATTACAGGAAGAAGGAGACACTGAACGAGTTGAGAAGGCATACTTGCTCGTAGCAGCCTCAGCCTGGACGTGAGGCATCAGTCTACTCACATTCTGTTGGCAAGAACTAGCCACGTGCCCCCACCCCTGCACTCCCAGCCCCCCAAGCAGTGGGCTAGGAAATGTAGTTGAGCTGTGTGCCCAGGAGGAAAAGACAGGTTTGGGAATCATAGTCAGTCTTTGTCACACACACCATACGTGTTGTTCTATAACTTGTACCTCCCCTCACTTAGACTTGTTGTCTATTTAAAAGTGACACTGGGGGCGCTTGGGTGGCTCATTCGGTTGAGCATCTGACTTTTGGTTTTGGCTCAGGGCATGATCCCAGGCTCATGGGATTGAGCCCCTTGACATCTCTTTGCTGAGCATGGAGCCTGCTTAAGATTCGCTTTCTCTCCCTCCTGCTCCTCTCCCCAGCTTTCACATGCACTCTCTAAAATAAAATTTAAAAAATGACACAAGCAATACATGAAGCCATGCTTGTTATACACAGTTAACTTATACAGAGAAACTTATGCTTCAAATAACAGTCTCTTGGACATCATCACATGTTGACATAAGGGATCTGTCATGTGGATTAAGTGACCTAATACGTGTAAAGCACAGCACAATCCCAAGCACATAGGGGAGCTCAGCAGTGTTATTTGTTGTTATTGCTAGTATTCTTTCTACCAGCTTCTGGGAAGTCTTATTGAATGAATGAAATGCAGTTTTTTCAGCTTTTATTTTCCCCCTGAAAAAAATGCTGCAATGGCATTTAAATACTATATTTATGGACTTGTGCTGCTGTTTGGAGAGATTCCTGGAGGTGGTCATAAGATATCAACTTAGAATTTTTATAGATATTGCTAAATGGGTACCAATTTATAGTTCAACCAAAGTTGAATGACAAGGCCTATTTTCTTCATCCTTGCTGACATTTTTTATTATCAATTACATTTTTTATAGCCTAGAATGTTTATATTTACATTCTTAGATCATTAATGATGTTAGTATATTTTCATATATTTATTAGCTAACTTTATTTTTAAAAAGTTATCTATTCCTACCCTTTGTTTTTCTATTGGTTGTTTGTCTTTTTAGTAATTTTTTGGAGTTCTTATTATATATCCTTTGCTATTTGTATTGCAAAGTTTCTCTCGGACTATGGTTATCTTTGAACTTCGATTTACATTTTATATAGTAACTTTCTTTCCTATGTGAGTCTGCATTTTGTGTCATACTTAGAAAGCCCCTCCTCACCCCAAGATCATCAGCATCTCCTATATATACTCCAGTTACTTTTATACCATTTACTTTTGAATTTTATTTTAACTATAATGTGAAAGAAGACTAACTTAATTTTTCCCTAAATAGTTGTTCTAATACCATGTATTTAATGATCCTGTGTCTTTCAGTCTGTTCCATACTCTTGTTTTTCATTGGTCAGTTTGTCTCATCTTATGCTGGTACCACATTGCTTTTATTATCATAGCTTTTTAATATATTTTGATATTTGCTAGCAAAAGCCTCCTTGTTTATTTTTTTCAAAAGTTTCTCAGACATTTTTCCAAATTTACTCATCCAAATGAAATTTAAATTTTTTTCAAAGTTTTATTTATTTCTGAGAGAGAGAGATCGTGTAAGCAGGGGAAGGTCAGGGAGAGAGAGAGACACAGAATCTGAAGCAGGCTCCAGGCTCTGAGCTAGCTGTCAGCACAGAGCCCGACGCAGGGCTTGAACCCACTAACCTTGTGATCATGACCTGAGCAATAGTCAGAGGCTTAACCGACTGAGCCACCCAGGTGCCCCTCTTCCAAATGAAACTTAGAGTGATGTCTTCAAGTTCCCTGAAAAGTCCTGAAGGCACTGAATATATTGATGATCTTGGGGAGGGTTGGCATCTCTATAATAACCTGTCCTCTCGTCTATGTCACCTATGCACATGTCGTGCTTCCCACTTAATCAGGTCTTCCTTTACATCTTGAAATAAAACTACATTTCTTTGAAAGCACATAGTTATTTTATAACTTTTGACACTACCTCAATGGGATCAATATCATACACAGTGTTTTGAACAGAGACCTCTAAAAGGCACACAACCCAAGGAAAAATGGTTAAACTATATGAACAGAAACTTCATAGAAGAGGAAGAAGCTCAGTCTTCCTCGCATCCAGGAAAAAACAGACTATGGTGTTATTTTTCTCCATCAGCCTCCACAAACCAAAAACACTGTTAATAAATGCTATGAGTGGGGTATAGGGAAAGGTCAACCAGGACATCTCTGGAAGGCTCTTTGGCGATACCTATAAAAATTCAAGGTGTGCATGCCTTTCCGTTAGATATCTCACTTCTGGGCTCTACCCTAGAGAAACATTTACCCAGGACATAGAGCATCATCCCGTGATACACATTACCCCAGGAGTGCACATTTATAAGTCTGAGAAGTACATCTTTTCAAATTATTTATTTATTTATTTGAGAGAGAGAGAGAGATCAGAAGAGGGGCAGAGAGAGAGAAGGAGAGAGAGAATTCCAAGCAGGCTCTATGCTCTCAGTGCAGGGCTCAAAGTGGGTCTCAAACCCACGAACTGTGAGATCATGACCTGAGCTGAAATCCAGAGTTGGATGCTTAACTGATTGAGCCACCTAGGTGCCCCTGAAAAGTACGTGTTTTGCTTTAAGTAGTTGGTGATGCTCTGTGCTGATGGGGAATAGAAACACAAACCTGTTAAAAAATTTTATTAAAGTCCCCCAAAAGTCAGTTCTCCTTTTTCTTGGTGTCTTTCCCTAACTGAATTATGTATTTTCTACTTATTAAGAGGGTTGTCTTGAAAAATATGTTTACCATCTCATTCTCATATTATCTATTGTGAGCATCTTATTCTTTTATAATAAAACTATTTAACAGTAGGACAAACCCCATTTAACGTTTTTTTATATAGATCGGAGATTTGAACCAAGACAATTTTGTAAGATTTCTTGGTGATTTTCCCAGGTTTATATTTGTCTAAATAAAGAAACAAGCAGAATTTAAGGTGCTTTCTAATTAGCCTGCTGGTCAAGGTACTACTATGCCCACGGCAGTTGTCCAACCTTACCTATCCTGCCTTACTTCCTGCCTCTTGGCTACACAGACCCTGAGTCCAGGCGGCCGCTGGCCCCCATCCACCCTGGTGGACTTGGGTGCCACTTTCCTGGAGACTTCTCTGGACCCAACTCACTCAGCCACCTCTTCTCTTCTCTGAACTCTCACAGCACAGATGTGACACATGGCACAGTCTGGTACACGATTCACCCCAGCCTCACACTGGTTTTCTCTATTCCCCTATGTTGGCTCGGTTTCTCATCCAGACCACTCACACCTTCACGATTTCTTTTGTTTGGGAGGGCAACTGGCCCAGGGATATAACACTTAAGGACTATGGGAAATTATGGAAGAGGCTATATTTCTGACACATCTGGTGGTTTCTTTTCTTTTTTAAAGCTTATTTATTTTGAGTGTAGCAGGATTCTCACACAGAGTCGTGACACCGAGGCTTTTCTTACCAGGAAGTAATTTTATTCCAGCCGGTGTCGCTCAGTAGGGTTCATACCCAAAGAACTGAACACCACGTGGCACGGCTTTTTATATATTTTTTACTTCTTTGTCTCCCCAAAATGGTAACACACAAACATGCAGTCTGATTAACGTGGTCTCATGTTACAAGGTCGTGAGGGATGTCGTCACATACAGGAATAGCAAGGTTGCCTTGAGATATTCTTTTTTATTTTTTTCTTTCTTTCTTAGGGAGGGGACCCTACCACAAGAGAGAGAAAGTGCAAGCAGGGGAGGGGCAGAAAGAGGGAAGGAGACACAAAAAGTGAAGCAGGCTCCAGGCTCTGAACTGTCAGCACAGAGCCCGACAAGGGGCTTGAACTCACGGACAGTGATATCATGACTTGAGGTGAAGTCAGACGCTTAACCAACTAAGTCACCAAGGCACCCTCACATCTGGTGGTTTCTTAAATGCTCTGTATCTCTTCTAGGTGGCAAAGAGACACAGCATGATGTTTGGAAATATAATTCTTCAATCAACAAATGGATTCAAATTGAGTATTTGAACATAGGCCGCTGGAGGCATAAGATGGTGGTTTTAGGTGGCAAAGTCTATGTGATTGGAGGTTTTGACGGCTTACAGAGGATCAACAATGTGGAGACCTATGATCCCTTCCATAACTGCTGGTCAGAGGTATAGCAGATTATTTCTATGAGTAATTTTGTATTATTACTTCAAAGTTTAAAAAAAAAAGTATATGCCAGTGTAGGTATATGGCTTTCTGATCTCTCTGCTCCCACTGAGAACATTTTTGGGGTCTCCAAGCTTCCCTCTTAATAGGAGCCATTGCTACAGCATTGCTGATCAGGTCAGAGAAACAACTTCCTTCCAGACGGGGAAGCTCTGCGTGGGCACTTGTCTATCCTGGCAAGAACCCCAGGTGTAGAGGGGAGGCTTGGTTCTAATCTCAGTCCGCATGTCTTAGATTAGAGTCTGTCTCCCCAGATACCATCTGCCCATGTTGTTTCCACAGTGGGCATACAGGCCTCCCTTTGCCACACTGTTTACTGAGCCAGAGTCATTTGGTAGTGGCTAGAAGTTAGCCCTTGTAATCATGCTAGGTGAATAAGCCCTGGAGATCTGCCATACAACATTGTGCTTGCAGATAGCAATACTGCGTTTTATGTTTAAACATTTGTTAAGAAATTTCTTTTGTAGTTCATAAGTGTGATGATTGGGTCTTCATACCATCATGTGACATGTGCCTCCCTCAAACCTTGTTAAGACCCTGGCACATTACCTGTCTGATGTGAAAAAAAAAATTCTTAAGAGAGTAGATCTCATGTTAAATGTCCTTACAATAACAACCACAACAACAATAACAACAACAACAATAATAAAAGTAAAGCAGTCTCACTTCCTGTATTTCCAGGTTATTCTCAATTACAAATTTTCTTTCTCCTTATGAGACTATATGTCAGAGTATGTTCCAGTTTGGGGAGTGTAAAACATGGTCATCACAGGCACAAGCAAAGGTAGCTAGGTCATCATGGCGTCTAGCCTAGACCTGTCAACCTGAAAACTGCTCTATAGCCCTTAATATTTATAGGAGTGTCCCTAGATCTTCTCAACTTGTAAGTGCCATGACATAGTTGCTCTATGACCCAAGAGGGCCATGTTAAAGGGCAAGAAGCTCTTGGAAGTCTCCTTGAGTACCCTGGTGTTCACAGGGTAGAAGCACAGGTCTGGCTAAATACCGAAATTTTCATGCTGCCCCAGAGTGGGAGTCTGCTTACCTATGGCCACCTTATCCCATATATTGCTTATATGCAATAAGGACAGTGGCACATCGTTGGCACTCAGTTAATATATTTTTTTTTTTTACAAATAGTTTATTGTCAAATTAGTTTCCACAACAGTTAATATTTTTTGAATGAAGGAACACATGAATGGATAGAAATATGCATGTCTGAGAAAGTAGTTTCCTCTAATAGTGGCTAGTTTCATCTGTATAAACACTTTTTCCTATGTACACCTTCCCTCCCCTGGTAGCTGGACTCTGGGAGAAACAGGCTGGAAACATCCAACACTGGAACCTGTTCTAGCCTGTCGGAGCCTGCAGGGAGGGTGGGAAATGAGTGCTTTGACCACGTGTTTCAAGGGGAGTCAAGCCCACAGACCTTGTGACTTCAGGCAAAGGACTCCCAGGCTTGTGTTCTCGAGCTCCTGGCCTGTGTCCTGTGAGCCAGTGCAGCAGTCTGGGAGCTGTGTGACTGACAGCTTCTCCTGATGCCCTCTACCTTCACAGGCAGCACCCCTTCTTGTCCACGTCAGTTCCTTCGCAGCTACCAGCCATAAGAAGAAGCTCTATGTGATTGGGGGTGGGCCCAATGGGAAACTGGCCACAGACAAGACTCAGTGTTATGACCCTTCAACCAATAAATGGAGTTTAAAGTCGTCCATGCCGGTGGAGGCTAAATGCATCAATGCAGTCAGTTTCCGGGACCGCATCTATGTTGTTGGTAAGTAAATGAATGGCACCTTATTTATCTGAGGTCCCCCACCCATGCAGCCATGCAGGTAGATCAGATAAGGCCCTCCTGGGAACTCACATGGATTCCCGGGTGATGTGGGTGAGGTTGAAAAGGAAGAGAAGGGATTGGTCCAGGCCTTGCCGTACTGGACACAGAGACAGCTCATGTTCAGGGGACATACAAAATAGACTGACAGGAGGGCTCAGTGGAGGCGCCAGATGCTGCTACAGGAACAACGTGTGTTGTAAACATTCGCAAATGTATGAACATTGAAACTTACACAGTAAGTGACCAGTGAATGGTAGCTATCATTACTTCTTATTTTGTGTTCATGGGAATTTTACTCTTTCCATTTGCTTTGGGGCTCTGAAAAGATGCATTTAGCCACAAAGAAAGTCTGACTAGCCACACCACAGTTGGCATGTAATTGTTAAAGATGATGGATCTCAATACCAACTACTCATTAGAATCACCTGTGGAGCTTTTTACAAAAATATGCAATTATATCAGAATGAGAGGGAGGATGCATGTCTATAGTGGAAGGTGTTTCTTTTTATTTTTTTAAATGTTTTATTTATTTTTGAGAGAGAGAGAGAGAGAATACAAGCAGGGGAGAGGCAGAGAGAGAGGGAGACACAGAATCCAAAGCAGGCACGAGGCCCTGAGCTGTCACCACAGAACGTGACGCAGAGCTTGAACTCGTGAACCTCAAGATTGTTACCTGAGCTGAAGTCGGATGCTTAACAGAATGAGCCACCCAAGCGCCCCCACAGTGTAAGGTGTTTCTAATGTGCAGGTGATTTTCGTGTGCAGCCAAGGACTGAGAATTACTGATTAAGGAGATGCCAAAGATATGTAACTTCAGCAAACCAGAGCCAATCAGAGCAGGCTTCCCAGAGGCAGAATACAGGAACAGATTAAGGAAAAACCCCTTCTCTCTCTTGCTTCAGGTTTCCAGTGTGTTATGGTCAGCCTCATGACTTCAAAGCTCATCTTCAGATGGGTAATGGGCTGGCGTCCCAGGTCATGCTCAGTCTACAAATAGATGCCACCACCTCTAGTCACTGCCATGTACTGATAGCTTCTGTACAGGCCTTCTGCAGGTGCTTTATGAGCATGATCCTTTTGATGTCGTATAACCACTGCGGTCTCAGTGCACATGGTTTCAATAAAAATGTGGCAGAGCTGGGGTCATGAGCTGAATGCACCAGCTGTACCAGGTGGTATTTCTTTCAGGGAGCAGTCTTAGGGTACATTTTGGCACCACGTGAAGACAAACGTCCTTGAGATCCTGATTAGTGCCTGACAGCAGAGTTTAAGGGGCTTTGTGAAGTGTTTCCAGCATGAGACGTGCTTTTCCTAGTATCCATTTGAGCTTTCTGGAGAGCCACGAATCTCCTCTTTCCATTGGCAAGAGGGTAGATTTGATCTAGCAGAAGTAGAATTTTTGTGGTTAAAGGGGAAGAAAACCAGAAAAACAGTGAGATGCCCACCGTGTTTCCCTTCCTCTTCAGGAGGGGCCATGAGAGCGCTTTACGCCTACAGTCCCCTGGAAGACAGCTGGTGCCTGGTGACCCAGCTCAGCCACGAGAGGGCCAGCTGCGGCATCGCGCCCTGCAACAACCGCCTCTACATCACTGGGGGGCGGGACGAAAAGAACGAGGTCATCGCCACGGTGCTGTGCTGGGACCCGGAGGCCCAGAAACTGACGGAGGAGTGCGTCCTGCCCCGGGGGGTCTCGCACCATGGCAGCGTCACCATCAGGAAGTCTTACACACACATCCGGAGGATCGTGCCCGGAGCCGTGTCGGTGTGACTGCGGATGGCGAGGGGCGCTGGACGGGGCCCCGGGAGACCTCCCTCCTCACCTGTCTCCTGGGTTCGTCCCACTTCAGACAGCAGGCTGGGCTTGAGCTACAGGCCATACACCTGGGTTCCCCGCGGCTCCACATGGGGGCTCCTTTTGGAAGTCACACCTTCAGGACACCAGCCAGGAATGTTTGTGCGACCTACCTCAGGAGGGAAGAAGAGTAATCTGTAAGATTCAGGACACACTTGTCCCATGCCAGGTTATGTGCCAAGCACTTTTGTGTACCAATTCATTTAGCCATCACAATGACCTGGTCACTGGACATTATCACTTCTCTTTTACAGGTGAGAAAACTGAGTTTCAGAGAGGCCAAGTGCTTTGCCCCCGGTCACCCAGGTTATAAGTAGGAAGCCAAGAGGCTAACCTCAGGTCTTTTCAATGTCAAGGTCAGTGCTGATTCTGGCTGCCTATTTCCAAGTAGGAAACAACAAACTAAAATGGGCTCAGTTTTTGTTCTGACAAGTTTGCTAAAGGATTCACTCAGCAAGGCGGGGAAATAGTTTTTTTTTTTTTTTTTTTTCTTATATTTAAACCATATGGCATTCTTGGTGTTAGCGCCTTGGGCTCCTTGTTAAGAGTGTTTCAAATGTTGCATCTGACAGGACCGGGAGATGGGTCTGGGGTGACCTATATGCTTTGAAAGAGATAAAAGACTTCTCACCCATCAAAACCTCTATTTTTTCATGATCACCGAGGTGCATTTTGGACTAGAACTGTTATTGCCAGACAGAATTGTACCTTCAGCACCGTCCAGTGCCCTGGACTTTTCATGTCCAACACTTGTATTGCAATGTTGAAAAGAGTTTTCCAGAGACTCAGAATACTATTGTTTTGTTTTCTTTTGTTTTGTTTTGTTGTGTCTTTAATGTAAGCACCCCTACACTGCTGGCCACCGCAAGAATGGCTGACTCTTCTTGACAGTATATTTTCTACTTTTTAGACTGTGATTTGAGTCCATGTCCCTGAGCCCCACCTTCCTAGAACCTTAGTTTTCAGGATCCTTTTAAGCCCTATTATTCGGTTTTTGGTTCAGTTTGGCACAATTTTGACTCAAGGAATGGAGTCTGTCCTTCACTCTGATAGAGCTTTCAAATGAGCTCACTGGAAATTCATTCTAATCCCCAAGTTGGGGAAACAGATTAAGAGATCCTGTTTCATGTGCTGTACTTAAAGAGCAACAACAATGATAGCAACATAGTAACTGCATTACCCAATGTGTTTTATTTTCATCATATGATTTCAAATCTCTTTAACAGAGTTTTATTTCATGTCAGATGCAGCATATTGTGCTTGTACTTCTGGAACAGTTTGGGAAGTAGAGATATTAGAGTTTATAGTGAGTTGAGTTTTCATAGAAAAGTTACGGTTAGAAGAAGCCAAAGTTCAAAGCTGATAAAGAAAAAAGGACTTGGAACATTACACATGAGATTTCTGTGTATGCTTAGATCATTGGGGATAAATATAAACCCATGTTGGTGTGTGAAAAGCTCTGTGCCTTAGAATCAGGTGTGACAGTTCAGCTCCCTGCTACAAACGATAAGATAAGAAAATACAAACATATCTAGGGACATTTAGAACACATTATAGTAAGTGATGTACTTACTCCTGAGTACTAATAACCTTAACAAAGCTTTCAACAGAAACAATTTAATCTAGTTCAATTTAGCAAACATCCAAAGAGTTCTTTCTGTTTGTCAAGCCTTGGGGACACCAATGAGTAAGATAACCACTCCCTGAAACATTCAGCAAACAGATAAACAGGCCACAAGTCAACATTATAATTTTTCTTTTGATCAAGTTAGAGAAAAATGATATGTCTGCAAAGTTATGAGGTTACATCCATGTCTTTATTGCCCTCTCAGTGGTCTTCTTGGGAAGCTGTACTCTTAGATCAATGATGTGGCCATTGCTTACATATTTGACTTCCTTTGAGATCGTCTTCAGAAACCATTTATGAGCTGTAGGAGGAATCATTTTCCAAAGGTGACTTTAGGGAAGAACTTCCATAAAGGCTATCAATGACAACATCAGTGGCATTTGCAGAGAGATCCCCTCAGAAAGAGAATGCTCCTTGTCATGGAGGACTTTTGATAAGAGCAATTGACAAATTTTGTGCCCATCAGTGGATCAGCCCTACTCAGGGAAAGTAAGAATTCAGGATCTCTGTGTTATAAATCTGCTTCTAATTGCAGGACCCAAGTTTCAAGACTTGTTCAGAATACATAAATGAAGTCAAGGAAAGGATTCTATGTCATTTTTAAAAAATGTTTATTTATTTTTGAGACAGAGAGAGATAGAGCATGGGTGGGGTAGGGGCAGAGAAAGAGGGAGACACAGAATCTGAAGCAGGCTCCAGGCTCTGAACTGTCAGCACAGAGCCTGATGTGGGGCTCGAACCCATAAACCATGAGATCGTGACCTGAGCCAAAGTCAGATGCTTAACCCACTGAGCCACACAGGTGCCCCAGAGTCTATGTAATTTTAATGTCACCAGATATGCAAGTGAACTGTAAAATCTCAGATGCCTGGCCCTCAAGAGAGATCTTCAATAATGACATAGGTTGGCAGACAGGTACACCTGTTAAGACAACACAGAATCCTGCAGTTAAGGCTGCCAGCCAGTAGTTTTAGGGAGAGAAGAGTTCAACCAATTCAAGGAAAGTTTATAAGCATATCAGGATTTAAGCTTCTAGGCACTAGCCAGGGATGGAAGCTCTTAAAATCTAATTTCCATTTACAGATAAGTCTAGAAGTCTAGTTTGTGTAATTGTCGTACCCATACCACCATCAGGGGGATGAGGCAGGTTGGTGCCAGATGAGCTGGAGGCAAAGGGCTCTGGGACTGATGCAGGGCATGTGGGACATCCTGGTGTAGCCGACTGGATCTTGAAACAGGTCATGTGAATGAGCAGAGCACCCCTGGCCGGGAGGAAAAGGAGGAGGTAGGAGGAGGTAGAAGAGGTCAGGTTTAAGGATACAGGTCTAGAAAGTGTTATCATGGTCCCTAGAGTTTGTGAGCATGACTCCATTCTCAAGAAGGGTAAGGGGAGAATAAGGAACAGGGGTTTCGAGGAAGTGGGTTCCAGGAGAAGAGAGGCATAAATGAGAGCAGGACTGGCAGCCAGCCCCACTTGTTGGGGGGCCTCTGAGCTGCTTGGCAGGGTCTCCTATTTTATTGCATTTAGAATGAGGCCCAGAGGCTCTGCTGGGATGGAAATTGTAGGAGAGGTTAAGGGACCCCAGTTCCCACACTGATCTGAAATGGGCGGGGAGCTAAGCTCACCTGAATATCAACAGATACATGTTCTTATCTTAGCGTTCCCCACATTCTGCAATCAGTGGCTTCAGGAAACACATAGACACTCACACACTCACATATTGCCCTTGAACTCCAACTAAGCTCTCAGGGAAATACAAATGTCATTTGCTTGAAGCTGTGAAAGTATAGCTTTGCTATTTATAAAAGCACTTGAGGTACTCTTGTTATTTATGTATCCTATTTGATTTTGAAAAAGAAAAGTACTCGTTAGAATTTTCAAAGTGGGCAATTGCCACTGGAATTTCTTATGTAAGTTTCTAACTTGGGGGTGCAAAATCGTTTTTTCCCTTAATATCTGATTTGAGTGTTGTATTAGATCTCATAATCTGAAGAGTCAACCTTCATGGAAATCCACAAATATCTCAAATATGGCTATTGCAAAACCAGTTTTGGCAGGCTGAATTTTCATATTTATAGGTAAAAATAGCAACATTTAGTTGACTAAGTCCTTCAAGCATTTGGGTTATATGAATCTGTATTTTTTTAATGATCAAACTAAGGATATTGTTTATACATAAGTATACAAATAAAGTTTGTATTTATTAAAAAATGTGTGTGGAATGGATCAGATTATGTTATATACAATCAATATGTGAATTTTTTTGCTTGTTTTGACTGATATGAGTTAGTGGTATCAGACTAGAAATGAATTTAGGAGGTGGATATTTAAAACATTTCAGTTGGTTCAAGAGGGTTTCGATAAAATCATAGGGTAGAATTGATTAGAGGTGGTCTGTAGGTAGAATGGCAAAGATTAGATGGCTTTTCCCTCCTTAAAGTCTTGTTGCCTCTTTGAGCATGCTTTTTACCAACCCACCTGCAAACTCTATGACTCTTGTTTTGCCTGCCTTACCCCTTCTTACCAGAGCCCCCTTCTAGGCTTCTGATTTCTGCTCTGACTCTCAATCCTGCCTTCACCAACGTCACTGTGTTGTTTCTGGAGCCTTAACCAACTGTCTGTCTCAAATCAGGGCATGTGGAACTTGGCATAAGAGACAGTGAGCTGTAGTTTTCGGCCACTGGAGAATTTGTCATCAATTCAGTTTCTTTGGGATTACAATACAAAGATCCTCTATCTCTGAAAAGGAGAATCTGAGGTTTTAAAGAAAGGTGGGGTCACATGAATAGCTTTATAGCATTCCTCGTGGGCCTACCAGGAAATAGAGGTGCTGGCTCCTCTGCTCTGGGGACCCTGGGTGGAAAACCTTGGGAAGCATAGCCCCATCTCACCGGTGGGAAGTGTTCTGGAGTTAATCCTGGGCAATAGATCTGACAACCAGTGCACCAGCTGTGAGTTGAAATGGGGTTTTGACCTTAAGCTCACTGCCGAGCCCTCCAGTCCCCCTGCTGGATCGAAGTGAGTGGTAATCTGATGCCTGGGCAGCCTGGCCAGGGCCTGGCATGTGCCCGGCTCTCCTTGGCCCCTCTCCTGGCTCTTGGCGCTCTCTGTTGGTGTGCGGCATCCTCTGGGCCAGTCCCCTTTTCACTGGAGATGTGGCCTTCATATAGGATCTCAGTTCTCCCCTGCCTTCTATGGCTCGTGTCCCATTGTCTGTCCCCTCGGTGCTAGGGACTGATTTGGGTCAGGTCCCATCCACTCCCAAGCTGCCCAGTATCAGCCTGCCTGATTATCAGTCACTCTGGTTTCCACTTCCATATTTGTTTCTAACACCTAGGGATCCTCCTTTCCTTCTTGCGTGCTCTGATGGCTCCTTCGTTGTGGTTCCTGCATGGCGGGCTACCTAGACACCCATACCTGCCCCATCCAGTCATCCATCTGGTCCCTAACCTGCTGTGTCCCCTGGGGTCTCCACGCATAGAAACCTCATTATCCTTCTTGTGTTGTTGACCTGTAGCTGTCCCAGCACCAAAGCGTCACTAAGGGTCTCCTGATTTCTGAAGTTTGGAGAAAGAGCAAAAGAAGATATGAGACTTCCTGGCTACATATTAAGGCTTGTGAGTAAGGAAACTTTCCTTTTCCCTTAGTAAAACTAACCCGGTTCCTCCAAGTTTGGCAGTGGATGGAGAAACTCCCTGTGGGGACAGAGAATTGGATCTCTTAGCCCCAACTGTTGTCCTTACAAGGAAAGCATCCTATACATGGCTCTGAATTTCCTAAAGGAAATCGCAGACCAGGCTGGAACAGTGGAATATGACTTCACCGACAACTTAGAGATGATACCAGGAAATAAGCACAAAAAGGGGCAACGCTCTGGATAATGAGGATGCCAGAATTCAGCTGTCCTTGAGAAGCAGTGTTATCCTTAGGAGCGGTGTGTGTGTGTGTGTGTGTGTGTGTGTGTACGTGTTGTCAACGATAAAGCTGGACATAGTTAAAGTGGAAAAAACAGGTTTTATCCAGTAACTACTGACAGTAGAGAAGGAGCTGAGCCCCATTCTGATTTGTGCACAGCTGAGTAAGTGCTTTAAAGGGAAGATTGAGAAGGGGGAGGGGATGGGGAGCTGGTGGGCACTGAAGTAGAGGCCAGGATGTGAAACATTACAAGGCATTGGTCAGTGAATGTGATGAGCCCTGCTGTGTCTGCTGGCTGGCAGTGTTGAACTTAGGGTTCTATCTTCCTACAGACACAGGCAGACAGAGGCTGTACTTCCTGATAGTTACATTCAAAGGATGCCTTATCAGGTCCTTGAGAATGACACTTCTGGGTTGTAAGAGATACATACATATACATCTCAAAGGGACAGAGAAAGGGTTTACAATCCTAAACCCTTTTTAGTAAATGCTCTAAGAAAGGGAGGTCAGGGAGCTATCATCAGGTGTTGGTTAGAACAGATGGTTAAATTCTTTTGACAGTCTTGAGCTTTTCCGGGCAGAAACACAAAAGGAGGGCTGTGTGTTCTTAGGCAGCCATGCTGGGGTTGATCAAGTCTGTTAGTGCAGGAGTTTAAATGGAATGTTCACGCAAAGAATTTTTGCCATTTTTAGTGACCCAGGTATATTTGCTTCATGAAACAGATACAATTAAAAGAATAGGTGTGCCCACCACTCATACTGCTGGTGGGGATATTTTAAAAGGGGGCTGTTCATTTTCTACAACTTAACACAAGCCCACTGTGAGGCCAGGAGTGCCCAAATTTCTCCTTTTAGAATATTTTAAAGACAACTAAAGAGAAAAATAATGCTAAAAGTTTTTTCAGTGTATATAAGCCAGAGTGGTGTTCCCAAACTTTTTGGACTATGTCCCACAGTGTCAAAGAGGAAACATTTTTAATATTTTCTACTCTATTTTTAAGTTTTATTTATTTATTTTGAGAGAGAGAGAGAGAGAGGAGCTCAAGCAAGCGTCATGCTGTTAGTGCAGAGCCTGACATGGGGCTCAACCCCATGAACTGTGATATCATGACCTGAGCCAAAATCAAGGGGCAGATACTCAACCAGCTGAGCCACCCAGGTGCCCCTCTGTTCCATTTTTTAAAGTTTTATTTATTTATTTTGAGAGAGAGAGAAAGAGGGAGCAGGGGAAGGGCAAAGAGAGGGAGAGAATCCCAAGCAGGCTCTGTGCTGTCATTGCAAGCCCAATATGGGGCTTGAATTCACAAACCATGAGATCATGACCTGAGCTGAAATCAAGAGTCAGATGCTTAACTGACTGAGCCACCCAGGCGCCCCTACTCTATTGTCTCTTAAAATGCTGTTCACAACTTATTAAGGTAATTTCATCATCTACTTGTGAGGCGCAAGTCACAACAAGCCACATCTGAAAAATACAAGGTGTCTGGGCATAAACCTAGACAAAGTCAGGGCAGGGGTGAGGGAAGAGGAGGTTGGCAAACCCTTGGTTTAACACTTAACAGCAGATACCACAGGGAAAAATCTTGAGTGCACAGAGAAACCCAGGAGACAGACATTTGCAGGTAGTAGTCTATTCTTTTGTAACAAAAAGATAGTCATGGAAACGTCTATTGTGTAATTTCCCAGAAACATGGCACACAGCCAGAAATAGTCAAAGAGAC